GATGGGGTTTCAATGGGGTTTGAAAGCAAAATGCAAGATGGAGTTATAGAATCAAACTATGTGGTGCAAGCTCTCTCAATCTCCAACCAGGGCATGGATCATCTCTAGGGCATATATAGGTGTCAATGGAAATGTGTGGAAGCTTTGAGAATCTTCCAAGAAGTTTCTAGAATGTATCATGCAATGAGAATTTGAATTTTCCATCTTTAGTAATTCTCATGCAAACTCATGATAAACCATGCAATCCCACTTAATTTATCCCCACATGATATTATGATATGAAAACAAGGCCTTACTAACCCTTATGTAGCATTTTCTCACTTTCTCTTTTGGTGCCTTAAAATGCAAGAAACAAATTTACAAAGCAACTCCAATTTTTAAGCCTAAACTTAAAACTCTATTTGAACCATTGTTTTTAAAATGATGTTTGGAGTCAAAATGACATATTGGATGACCCATTTTGGATTTGTAGATCTCTCAAACCAAAATTCCATTTCAACTTTTTCAACTTATAAGCCATTTACAAGCCATTTGCACCACTTTTTTAAAAATCCATGCTCTAAGCTTTTTCAATAACTCATGACCACTTTTCTAGGCTTAAAATCCCATTTTGAACAACTTTGATGTTTTGAGTTTTTCCATTTGAGGCTTGGAACTAGGAGATATGGTCTTTGCTTAAAATGACCTATAATCACCAAATGACCAAAATACCCCTGTCTTGTTCAAACCATAAGTTGAGTTCTACAAATCCTATAAAGTAACTCTAGTACTCTATAGAAAGCTAAGAAGATGCTCTTCAACATTCATGTTGACCAAGAGATCATAGGAATCATCCTACTAGGGAAAAAGTTGTCTGCAAGTTGGGTAACTTTCAAGGACCCAGATTCACACACCTCAGCTGACCTGTAATTTGTCAAAACCATAACTTGAGCTCTGCAACTCCTATCAAGGACTTCCACCACTAAAATTAAATCTAAGAATAAGCTCTACAACATTCATGTTGTGGGTAAGATGAGATATCAATCACATCTTGAGCTAAAACTGCCTGGAAGATAGGGATCAAATTAGGGTTTTTTCACTGACAATCCCTGGAAACCCTAACTCAAAACTTCTCAAACTCCACAATCATGATGAGTTGGTCTAGGAATCATCTTTATAACATCTCCATACATCATTCCATTATCTCATGGCCCTTGGATTAGGTCTCAACCTTCTCCAAATCTTCAGCTGATCTAGGATTGACCCAGTCAAACTCTAATTCTACCATTCATGGTTGAATCTTCTGAATTCTTGCACAATGACTTCTCTGGGCTTCATGATGACTATCAAGACATCTCATAGGCTTTCTCAAAGCTTCAAGTTCATTCTCAAAGTCTCAGAATCATCTGAGGAGCACCCACAACTCTCAAGTTATGAAGCACACAACCCTGGTTTCAACCAATTCTTCTGAGGATCTCCTGAACTTTCAGGTGAAGGTATCAACCTTCAAACACTTGATGGATGAATAATTGTTGGTCAAATTTTGGGGTGCAACACATCTTCATGCACATTCTTCCATTGTTATACATAGACATTCCTACAGTTTATTTGAGTATTTTTACTATTCTAATGTGTTTTCATATTTAAATTTGTTTCTACCTTTATTTTATTTTCGCAGCTTATTTTCAGCATTAACAGTTATTTGATACTTGTTCACTGTGCAGACCGTAACTGGAGCCACGAGTATCAAATTAACGCTTTATAATAAGGTTGGAAAGCTAAGACAAAGAGATACAAGTTTCATGTTGAGGCCGAGAGCTGATTCGGAGTGAAACTGTATTGAATAATTTGTTGAAGTTTCAGACTTTAGAAATATTTTGTTTTGGGCCGATTTTTTTTATGTTTTTCGACCCAGTTGGATTAGAGACCGGATTTGATGCTTCCGTATACCTAGAAGAAGCCGCGCTACTATACATAACCTTCTTTTCACGATTTTTCTTTTGTTTTGTACGATTTGAATGGAGAACTAATTTCCGAAGGGAAATCCTGCTGCTTACTGGTTCTATCACTTTGAGGTTATTCTAATATCAATTTAAATTCGATTCCTTTCAATCCTTTTCTATGAAGTCATTTGCTTAATTTTATTGTAATTGTTTGCTTAATTAGATTGTTGTTCATAGGATAGAATTGATTAAATTTGATTGTATGCATGTTCTTAAATTCAATTGCGTGTTATCGTTTGCTTAATTCATTAACTCGTCATATTCTTAATTGTTTGCTTAATTCGGTAAGCAGGAACATAATTCATTTGATTTTGATAAGCGTTTGTCTAATTGATCTCATAATTGAATAAGATCGAAGCCACTTAGAGATTGGTGTTATAATAGACGATGATAAGTCGGAACCCGAATCAATAGGATTAGCCGTTTTAACTTAATTTCATAATCACTTATTTTAATCACTTTTTCCCGTATTTTCTTAATCAAAACTAAAAACAACCCTCCCAATCATTATTAGTCGGTTTATAATCATACAAGAGTCCTTGCGATACGACATCCGAGTGTCGCTTCCTGTTACTACTTTTAAAAACTCGTTTTTGACCCGTGTGCGACAACAGATCATTATCTCGAACTGTACACATAGCCTGTTGGGGCCTATTTAGATATTTTTTGTTTTATTTATATCATTTGTATATTATTCAAACATCATCATAACTCTTTATTAGCTAATATTATTAATCTTCCTTAAATTGCAACGTGAACATTAACTAACATCTGACAATGGATTACATAAATTAAACAGAAAAAACTTAACACTACTATATGATTAATAAATACAAAAAACTTAAACATTATCAAACGCTTCTAAACGTTTCAACATCTCCATTATGTATCTTAAAAGCTTAGCAACTAACTCAATCGGCCTCTTTGTTATTCTACGGCGAAATGATCTCCACGTTTCCTTCACATCTTCGTCGGTTTTCGACTCAATAAGGTTGTATTTCACCCTCCCGTCAGTATCAATCTAATCTTCACGAAACTCGATCTTTCTCACCTTTCTGTTATCAGTATTAGGCAACAATTCATTCAATTTGGACGTCTGGCCAGTAAGAGATGTGGTGTCATCTGGAAGCCGAAACTCTACATGAGAAGAAACTCCGTTGAAGTATACTTCTGCCTTAATCAAAAATTAAGGTAGAAGTATTTTTTGAGATGTGTTTATCAAACAACATGTGACCCCTTATTTATACAACTTTGGATTTACTCTAGACCACACAAACGGTTGGTGTAATCATAGTCATCTAATATTGTCGCCAAAATTCCGATCATTTAAAAAAATAAACAAATAACACTAGCAGAAGTTTTACTTAGGTTGAAATCTTCAGTATTAGCATGAAAATTTCAAATTTTCAAAAATATTTAAAACTTATCGAAAATTCTGAAATTTTCAACATACCGAAAATTTCTGATATACTATCGAAAATTTGATTATTAAGTACTGAAAATGTCATTATAGCTACCGAAATTGTAGAACGGCAATTTAGTCTTCCTTTTAGCTAGGAACAATTTTAAAAATACGAAAGTTTGAAGGAATGTTGGATATAATTAAGGGGGTGACGGATTAAATTCTTTAGAATGACTAATGTTTGCAATGAACATAATAAATAGAGTTTATGGACCTCAAAGATTTCAAAGGCTGTATTTATTTCAACTTTTTCAAAAATAATTTTTATAGTGTTTTATATTTTTATAACAAAAAAATTTACAAAAATTTTTTTTATAAAATTTTCAATTTTCAAATTTATTTTAAATAGCTAGTCTTAAAATATTATTTTTTATATTTTATCATTTTATTAAAAATATTTGAAGATATAAATTTAAAAAAATTACTTAATTTTGAAATTATTTTAAATAATTTTTCATAAAAATTACTTTTGGAATACAACTTTTTAAAAAAAGATGCAATTTCCATTATGTGCTATTCTTCGATAATTGTGTTTATATTATAGAATGTCAAAATTAATTTTATAATTTAAGAAAAATAAATTTAAAAAAAATTTATAATATTTAAAAATAAAATACTTTTAATAAAAATATTTTTTGAAATACAAAAAATAAAATATCTTTTTAAATTAAAACAAACATGCCTAAAAGGCAAGAAACAAAATAGCCGCAATGAAGGCGGATAAACAAAAAGAATCCACAATAAAGAGAGACAAACAAAAAAACCACAATAGAAACAGACAAACAAAAGAATTTAAATGATAATAAAAAGGATTTAGAGTTGATTGTTTTATTTTATTTTTTAATTCATTTTTATAATGTATTATATTTTTGTTTTAAAAATAATTTTAAAAAAAATTATAAGAAAATTTGATTTGAATAATTATGGTTATTTTAGATATTCCATCAATTTATTAAAACTTTATTTAAATATCAAAATTTAAAAAAAAAAAAAATTGCGATTTTAATTATATTTTGATCTTTAATATTGTGTGTTTGTGTTATATAATATCAAATATATCTTTCAATTTATAAAAAACAAATTAAAAAAAAACTTTTAAAATTTTAAAATACAATGAAATGTTTTTTTGGATAGACAATATAATCTACTTTATTTGTTTGTAAACAATATATATATTAGAACATAACAAACATTCTCCAAGTGTAAATCACAGTGACACATGCATTTATCTTTCACTAATGGTTATATTTCTCTTATTTTAAATGTAATATTCAATTAGACAAATAATGTCAACAAATTATTGGCCATTTTGGCTTATAATGACAATGATAAAAGAATTTTATGCAGGGACAATGCTGTAGCTCTCTCTGTTGAATGAGCCAACAAAAAATATTCTGACAAACAGAATGTGTCTTTTTATTGATTTCTCTGATTGAAGATTCAAAATTTGAAACCTGAGCCCTTTACTTCACGTAAGTTATTCATAGCAAAAGTTTGAAGATTCTTCCATTGTTGTGTTTTTCCATCTCCTTTGATAACAATCATTCACCATGAAATTAAATGATTGTGCCGTTGTTTATTACCGAGTTTTTCAACACCACCGTGATACCTGATCGAATATAAAACCCCTCAGACGATCTATCAGCCTCCTGCACATTCTACTCCCCGAAAACAATTGTCATTAATTTGATTTCATAGAAGTATATGAGAAATAGTTGAGAAAATTGAGAGCATAAGCAATTAAGACTTACTTCTTTGTTTGCAATTATTACATTGTTTCCAATTCTTGCGTTTTTGTCGATTATACAATTCCTGAATAGTATAAATATATGCCATGTAATACATGAATGGTGTTATATAATGTGAAACTATGACAGCATTTTCAGATTTTGGGATTCTTACATGATTTTCGCATTCTTGCCTATGCCTATAGGAACGTCCCCCATTGCTAAAAGAGACGCGATTTCAGCCTCTGTTTGATAATAGTCAGCGCCCATCATCAAGGTATCCTGCAACGCGATTGTAAATATGATAATGATAACACGGATTCATGTCAGTCGTGTTAAAAGAAGTTGAGCAGATAGATTTTTTTTTACCTTTAGATGCACTTCAGAATCGAGTCTCGAGCGAATTCCAACTATGGAGTGCTCGACTATGCACTCTCTTAAAAAACAACCATCTGAAATCAAAGAATTAATCACCTACAATAGATGTTATATTTCACACTCATTAGGCTCATAAGAGGTTGGTTATATTATACGGACGGAGTTTTTCAGTTCTACCTGACACTTCTCCATTTTAGTCGGGGGTAGGAACCGAGGACACGTAAAAATAGGCTTTGACTGATCATATAACTCAAACTTTGGTGGCTTCAACATGGAAGAAGAAGAAATTGCAATTTGTATAAACTCGTTGATCGATGATACCGGTAAGTTTTAAATACGAAAAGACCTACCTTGTCCATAAGCGCCAAGTTTGCGTCATAGAAAGATTTTATAGTCCCAATATCTTCCCAATAACCACTGAAAAGACATGCCTGTGATGAAATACAAGGGCCAACCTTGATTGTTTACTATAAAAACAGAATACATGGCGACAAAATACTTCCGCAAAACAACTCATAATACTCGAGTAGTTTTTACTTAGATAAATTACCTGGACTTTAAAATCTTTTATAGCTTTCGGAAGAACTTCGGATCCAAAATCATTTGCATTAGGATAACAGTTCCTGAAAATTTATCACCAAAGAAAACTGGAAATTGCATCATACTTATCTGAATTGAACTTTGGAAAATATCATAAAAGTTAATTACCTGAGAAGTTTGCGAAGAACGTCTAGTTTAAACACGTATATACCCATCGATGCGATATATGGAAGCTTCCTTGCTTCTTGTGCTGATAATCCAAAAATACTCGTATCTACATGCTACGAGAATAAGTAGAGAAATCAGAGATGGGTGATTTCAGATTGAAAACCGACGCTATTATATAGTTATAGTATATTACATTCCAATGTTTTAAGAGGAAATTGGAAAAATAACAACCATAGATCTTAATAATTCTCCCTTGGGTTTTTCCATGAATCGACGTATCTGTCCTCTTTCGTCAACCTTCACTAATCCAAAATCAGAGGCACGACTACAAGTGAAAAAAAGAAGAAAATGTGAACATCTCGAAAGCCGAATGAGTGAAAGATCATAGAGGAAACTTTACTTAGAATACCTGCCATCCACGGGTAGACATGATACCGATATATCAGCATATGAATTAATGTGCTTCTGCAAATTTGAGATCAGTTGTCATGTGAAACATTCACAATGAAAGTGAATCTTCAAAAGTGAATCAAAAGTAACATATACTAATACCAACCTTCACAAGTTCCATGTAATCCATTCGATAGAGTTGATCTCCACACAATATCAGAATGTTCTCGATGTTTTTATGCTCAGCATCCTAAACTCAAGTTCGAGAAACTTATTCAGTTTTCTGATTGTCGTAAAGAATATCCTGTGAAATCTACAAGAGTATGAACATGAAAACTAACTATCACATACCTCAAACAACCAAAGGAACCGTCTTACAGCATCGGCCGTACCCTGAAACCACTTGTTTCCTGATTCGCCGAGTGTTTGCGATGCTGCCAATATCTACCATATCAAACTTTTAGGATGCATACATCAAGTGAAAGTAAAAAAAACATAATTCACAGTAACGAAAAAAAGAAGGTGTACCTCAATAAAACTACCGCCGCAGTTGACGCCACCTCCCAAATTATACGTTCGAGCAATGTGGCGGTTGAGGGACTGAGAATTGAACTGTGTAAGGACGTAAATTTTGTTAATTCCACTATTAATACAATTGCTCATTGGTATGTCCACCAGTCTATAACATCCTCCGAATGGCACCTAAGAAACACACGAAGAACATAAAATGACACGCACATATTAGTGAATTCAAGCCTAGTTCTTGAAGAACATAACAAAACGCGAGAACTAGTAAGTCCAATAGTTTACAGCAGGTTTAGCTCTTTTTTGAGTAAGCGGGAATAGACGAGTTCCTGCTCCACCACCTAAAATGATCGATGCAACAGTCCTTGGGTTGGCTTCTTCTTCAGCGAAAATTGGTGATTGTAGGGTCTGAAAGATAACATTATCTAAGCAAATTCATATTCAATATATATCATTAATAATCAAGTTCAATCAAAACAAAGCATGCTATGATACCGAGCTCTGATACCGGGTTAAGAAACACGATAGAGCCTAACAACGAGAAAATTGCACTCACGGTAGGATACACTTTATATCATGATCATAACTAACTTGTAACTAACTATCTTAAACAATATTCAACAAATTCTAACAATCAAGAAGCAGAATGAAAGTGAATATACCATAAAATTGTTTGCCACATCGGCAAGAGTAGAAGTAGTCAAAAATCTTCTATTCGTCTTTCTTTGTACAACACTTACGAATTTTCCATGTGGAAAATCAAATGCTGCATTCTTTGAATGCAACTTGCTACCAGAGAACGACGAAGACAGAGTCCTGTCACGGTCGAAGAATGGCTTCTTTGAACTCAACAACATAGAAATACCATGTAACTCACTCGCCATCATCATTACAAAATTTCCATACACTAAGACTATCTTCAATTCTTCTTTCAAGCAAGTTATTATTTAAAGTCCAAAAGCTTACTAGTACAAGATTATCTAAGATATTGAAAACAAAAACTAATAAATAACAAAGCCTGTACAACCATAAAAGAAAGAGAAACATGTGTAAATGAAATTAACTTAATTAAGAAACATCAAAAGATCCTTCAATAAAAGCAATGCACAAGAGAACAGAAAAAGAGGGAAATTAAAGCAAGAGCATAATTTGCAATATTTTTATTTTATTTTATTGTGTTTCCACCTCATGTTGTTTGATTATGAATTTTAAAAAATTAATTAAAGCAAAGTTGGGTTTCCTCAATGTAGAGCAAGGAATGGCTTAATAGCTCAAAACCAACATGGAAAAATCAGACAATTTCGTACACAAAACAAACTTAGTTGTAAGCTTCTAAAGATTCTCAGCAGCTTACACTACACTTAAAGCTACAATGCATCTTTATTATTCCTAAATGCATGTTGTTTCCCTCCTCTTTTGTGATTAATTTAAGTCTCATACTTTTAAAATCAATTAATCAGAAACTTAGTACTTTCTTTTACCATAAAAAATCAATCATAATAACAAATCGAATGCATATAGTCCTCCTCGTACATTACTTTAATTTTACATCTTTCTTTACACCTCTTTTTCTTTTAAAATCCTCACCCCTCACTTTACAGCTTATACTTCTTCACTCTTTTTTGGAGGTGTTTTTTTTTTGTTAATCAATGTTTAGAGGCATCATTTGTCAACAAGTCAAACAGACCCCTCTCTCTTTCTTCGCGAGACCGACATTTTTATTATTAAAATATTGAAATGTAATAAAATACAATTATTGATGAATGTTGTGAAGTACTCTTTTCCGTCCTTCAAAAAACTTCCAAACAACAATTGAAATAAGAATGCAGTATCTTCCTTTACAAGCTAGAATTCAGTTTGGAAATCAGAAATTACTCCTTCGAGCTTTTTATTCTATACACATGCCTTATTCCAGAGCCAGCTTCTGATGACATACAGTTACAGATAGAAGCTGACTACAGGATGATGCTCTCCCTGAGATAGTAGTTTGCAAAGTAGCAAGAGTGTTGCTACACGCAGTATCTAGAAAAGAAGTGATTCGGAGAGAAACTGGAACGTCAATGCTAACTATACATCAACATGATCAAAAGTATTGACATACTATTTATCTATTCTTAGATTGTTACATAGATGATCAAGCTCGGGTCTTGCATCCATCCACGGGGCAAATTCTGTATCGGCAGGAGAGGTGCAGTAGAGATACGATGCGAATGTGATGAGAAAAAAATACCGCCTGCAAGAAAAAGGAATGATTAGAAAAACAATAAGTCCTTATGGTGCATAGATAAACTTTTTTATGTGATTACTACTCTCACAAATCAAATGTGTACTTCAAATTTTCTACGCTTTTTCAAAGTTTGACATTAAGTGCAAAATCAACATGTTAGGTAGTTGTGATTTAGTGGTTACATTGATAATTGATAGTGCTAACTTCACACTGGTGTTAAAGTTTGTAACATGTAACATTTTTCATACTCCACCAAAATGCATTTTATATTAATGTTTGGTTTGCTTTTCAAAGAAACCTAATTATTTTTTTTATTACAAAGTATTTTAATTTTCTTTAGTTTAACATGCAAGATATAAACAACAATTAGCAACAATTCTACGGCTGGATTAAGCAAAATAAACTATTATAAATTTAGTTGCTTAAATGCCTGTATCAATACCCGTCAGTGTACGCGAGGGTGTGAATAATTCTTCTCGTACCTTTTCGAGAAAATATGTTAATAGCCATCGGTAGGCATCATGAGAACATTTCAGTTAGCGAGGCAAGTAAATTTACCTCAAAGCCTTGATACCCATATCCATAAGATATGCACGCTCCTCATCGTCAACATCAGTAAGCTTCACAAATTCTCTATTGTAGTAAAGAATATCATCTCGTATATGCCCTGCGCCTGCACACCTATTAAAAAGAAAAAAGAAAAAAGAAAAATTCAGTGCCTTCAACTAAAAGCCAATAACTAGCATTCTAAGCTATGTTGACAAATCAAACTTCCCCGGCAGGTAAATGATGCAAAAGCTATTATAAAACTAAAAGATAGGGGTGATACCATGTTTCAAACAACATACATTCCTCATCATAGAAAACATAATATATCTACTCTATTGTCGAATGCATTTTCGGACAGATAATAAAGAATGGTTAGTAAAGCTTTTAATCAAACTTTTTTGACAACCTTTCAATGACAATGTCAACATCTGCTTTGCTTTGTGGGCCATGTGCGAGGACTCTTGTAAGGTTCAAAATGTCACGATAGTCGCCCATCCTGAGTGCTGTTTCATTAGAAGCTCGAGAGTGCAAATTCTCTTCAGTCACTGCAGATGTATCAGGACCAAATGATGGTTGCAGGACTTTTGATGCAAAGTTTGCATCTGCGCCAAGTCTAATACAAATGATGGCCATTGCATATGCAACTCCACCAAAACCTGTGTGCGATACAAAGAGGTAATTCCCTGCAGAGCTACAGTGAAGCAAGAGTTTAGAAGTACATTGTAATATCTAAATGAAGAATAACTTAAAAGATTAACAATTGCGTCTGCAGTTTCTAGATGGTATGAACAGACATGCAGGGAACATCTTCAGGCACGGTTGAAAGTAGAGGGAGACTTACTCATCTTGACAGTACTGTATTGCATCGACGTCGGAGGCCAAGGCATCTCTCTCTCTTGTTAAGGGTATCCTCCGATAGACAATATCATATCCATCATCTTTTAGAAAAGAATAAACTTCTGCTGGTGTCTTCACATCATCATCCAGAATGTTTTCCCAGTATCCAACCACAGAAGACTGGTTTGTTGACGGGTCATATTCTTCACGGTGTAGTAGCATTCGCCCACCAGACTCTTTAATCTCAGCCAGTATGTCTTCTTTCATCCGTGCCTCCATGTGTTCAACCTACATTTTAAGTTACCATCAGTTGTGCAACACAATTACTTTTGTAATATGTTCCAAGAGACAAATTATTGTACAAGATGACTCACCACAGGACCGGTGATTCCGACGTGTTTGAGTGTATCAACATGTTTGTTTAACTCCCTAAGAACAAAAGGAACACAGTTGATATAAACAACCGCTTCTTCTCTTACATCGGTCAATATAACTTTTTGAGCAGTGGAACCAGGTTTAGACTTAGCATCCAAGTAGTTTAGCATCTCCTTGGCCCCAGAGATGGTTGGAGTTGCCATGCAATACACAGGGTATTCATCAACCTGAAAAAATGGAATTCTCACAGTCATCATACCACTTATAAATCAATGGACGGTGACATGAAATTTGATAATGCAAAATTCTGTCAGCAAATCAAGTTTATATTTCATATATAAACATACCTTGTAGACATGAGGCGCACCACGTATTTGTATATGATTGGAAGTTCTTTGTCCAGGAAAGAAATACATTTTAAGTATAGAGCCCTTCCCCAAAACAGAACCATTTCGGGTCTTGACAGTAGCCTCCATCACTGCATCTCCATGCTGAGACTCTTGTGATTCTCTCAACTCCTCCTAAAATTTAAATTGGCATTATTGAAGCAAATCAACATTGAATTTTGAAAAAATAATCATTTGAGTATAAAACACTTACAGGGACAGTGAAAAATCTACCAGGTCTTAATCTGATGCTCCATTTCATAGCCTGTACCTCTGGCCTCTGACGCAACCAAACCTTAAATGTCATTCTGGAATCTCCTTGTCCACAAAACCCATCGAATGCTTCGCTTCCAAGATATGCTGCAAAAGCAATTAGACGGAAGTACCTTTCCAAGTACTCGGCACTGCGGTTTAAAGCGACCCTCCTTACCCTAGGCTCAACGTGCTGTTGATTGAATACTTTTCTATACTGTAGAACAGCTTGACGAATGTTTTGGAGTGCAGAACATCTATCAATAACAGCATCTAAGGCCTCTCGGCATTCAACACCATTATCAAATAACGTGGTTATCTTCCATAACAAGAGAATGTCATTTATACCAAAAACACGGTTTTGTTTCTCGTCCATCTTCATTTGTGAAGTATCGGAGCTCAATGCAGCGACACAGCCCCCAGCTTCATCTCCACTTGAAGAACCACTATTTGATTGTTCTTGGGACATATCATCACTCAATATTTTAATGGGCCTACCAAAATCAATGCGAAGTTTCACAAGGCAGGCTATGACAGTACCAGTAGTAGTCCTTCCCCGACCCATCTGTCATATCAATGAAATATTAGCAGCTATAAATTAATTGGAGAAAAATACAAGAAGAACCAGTGGTGGACATTGATGAACGCATTCATAAAGAATAAAGCATATGAGATCAAAGAATAAGAATAACCTGACAATTGAAAACAAAATTAGTGTCCTTTGCAGCAGAAGCAATATTAATTGCCAAAGTATCGAAGTCAGAACGTTTAGGAGCTTTTCCGTCAGTGATGGGTACACGTGCATACTTAATGGGAAATCCATCAGCTTCCAGGCTTTTGAAAACTTCAAACGGGGTTTGAATCAAATCAGAGGTAACATGCTCCCAAGCATCAAAGATATGTCCATCATCTGTTTCATGAATAACCATTATGGCGTTGCTATATTGTTTAGCTTCCCTTAAAATGTCTACTTTTAATCGTGCTTCCATTTTCTCGACTCTTTCACGGCCAATTCCCTGAAAGAACAAATTATAGCTTCCAATTCACCAACAATAAGAAAGAATACTAAATTAAGATGGAATTCAACGCGGCATCTAATGACATCTGATTTCAACTTATTTAACAATTAATTAAGCATCAATTGATCATGTATTTATAACAAAATCCTGAGTTTTACAACACGTAGAGGTTTGACAAATATTCAGGAAGCAGGTAGATTATGGGACTGTGTCATTTCATGTATTAGCTATTCCTCAGCAAAATA